TGTTTTTGTAATATATCCTTTCATTAAAACCAATGGTAAGGATCCTGTAGTTCTGTCATTGTATGTGTAAAGCAGAGACTTGGATTAGAGGATTAAAGCATCCATCAGAATCCACTTCAGAAAATGATACTCTTACACCGTATTTCTTTGTAAATGAGTGCCCAGCTGTCATCCTGTAGGTACCTAAAATGGACATAGGATCAGTGATATGCTTACAGGCTACAGCTTGTTCCTAATATAGCTCTGCTGGTTCCTGTAACAGATTGTTATATTTGGCTTTATGTAGGGTTTATAAAATTGGAAGAATATTCCTGAATCTGAGAGCCTGAAGAACGGTAATTGCAGAAGGTGGTCTGTTATGTCCTTTCCGTGGAAATGCAGAAGTACAAATCCTTCACTGCAGCTCTGACTCTCAAGAGCATTTTTTCAGTCATGAAAAATGCATCAGGGTGAACCAATTGCAAAATGCTTGTATATTTAAAAAAAAAAAAAAAAAAAAAAAAAAGGCATCATATCAAAGATTCCCCAAAAGAAAAAGCCTAACATTCTGGCTTGAATGTCAATCTAAAATTGCTGTCCAGTGCTTTCTATTGGTCCCACATCTGCTCCGGATCCAGCATTGCAGTAGCAAGTTGGAAGGGGTAGTGCCCAGTAACTGTGTTGCACGAAGCTAAATAAGAAGAAATGATTACGAATTGATCCTGAACTCTTTGTTATTCATTTGCTCAAATTATGATGCGTTTCTCCTCATCTGTGAATATCATCTAAGCTTTGAAGGAAGTAAAGGAAAATAGACATGCAGCCCATGAAAGCCATTCTTGAAATCAACAGAAGTTATTAGCAATGTCATAAAATATGACAGTCTGAGCATGCTCTCTTCATTGCTCCCAGCTTTGACTGCATAAGACTTATGTTTTCAGCTTGGCATTGTGTTTCTTTTGGAATTACCATTCAAGTCACAGTCTCTTCTTGCTTATGGAGTGAAGCAGAATACACCATGTGTTTTTTCAGGCTGTGTACATTGCACAGGAAATAAAGTATTCAGATAAGGATTGCCAAAAAAATACAGACCGCAAGGACTGTCTTCGCAGTGAGAAAATTAGGAATATCTATGCTTAAATTAATTGGCTTACACCGCTGCTGGCGTAATGTATGTGCAATAAAATTTCAGCCAATAGCTTGTTAAATAATAGGGCATATTCCTCAATTTTAGATTTAAAATTTTTTTTTAATATTCTCCAGCAAGTAAGAGACAAAAAAGTCAATCTTGCAATACTGATTTTGAGGATGACCTGACTAGAACAAATTTTACCCCTGAATATTTAGTACCTAAGGGATGAATATAATCTCTATAACGCATTTACTATTTTTAGTTGAGAATATAATCTGCAAACACTTTTTTTCCTACCATACACTTTGGTAACAACACATTCAGGGATGTACAGTAATAACATCATGCTCAAGGGTCAGCCAAAATGCCAGAGTACCCTACTAAATCCATGTACATAAACTATAATCCCTGCCTTTTTTCCTTTCTTAATCATGTTGGGGTTTTCAGGCATACATTTATTTTTGCTCTTATTTGCAGATGGTCTTAAAGCTTTAGTAAGCTGTAACTACCTTTTCCTTTTGCACTGTAAAAACTACTGATACTTTCTGTTTGGTTATGATGTTGTTTGTTCTCTTTCTCTTCTTTTAGGTTATAACCAACACCACTTCCAAGTTAGTATTATTCATATAGTGCTAAGTATTTGTGTTATGCTGTATGTGTGAAGATTTGCTTTCTGGGGTAGCATGATCCCTGATTTTCCTGCTGTGTCTTGCTTACAAGCATTTTTTTTTAAAAGTCTTGTTGGCTTGGCAAGCATCATATGTTGCCATTGTTGTGCAGAGGTGCTCTGTTCTAAGCACATGATGTGTTTAGCATTTCTTGGTGGTGTTTTAATTCTGCAAATGGACTTAGCATCTGTGCTTAATTAGTTCCTGTAGATGCTTTCAGACTTGCTCATCTCTACAGTCATGACTGGATTCCTTCTAACTTTTTATGTAGTCTGTGCCTTTAGGATTCATCAGAGTCTTTTTAGGGGCATTATTTGTGATGTGTTTTTGTCTAAGCATTAAGATAATTTCTTAAGCCACACTCCATTAGAATTCGAATTTAGGCTGGCAATAAATATTAATACTGAAAAGAACTAAAAAGAAATTTACTCTAATTAAAAAAAAAAATCATCCCCAAATAAGTATACATGTTTGACTTGTAATTGTGATTGATTTGCTTTATTAGTGAAGTTTACAGATACTCAGCTCTGATCTTGTTTTCTAAGATGAGGGCAAAGAATTCTCCCTAAAGTCCTCTTCTGTCTCTGAGCTGAATGTTGTCAATAAATTGCTGAAGAGACTGGACTAAATTCAGCTTAAAATAAGTAACTGTTTTAGGTAAATGTCAAATTTAAACTGATAAGAGAAGGTTGCTACTAGAATATATAAAATTGAAATAATATTTAATACTTAAAATTTACACTGGACAGGCATTTTCTGTTGATTTCAGTGAGGTGTTGGAGAAATGTCATGTGACCAATGTAGTTCCTTTGGACAAATAAAGCTCTTGACACCTTACAGTGATAATTGTTCTGACTGTATTGGAAAGCAGAAGTCACATTGTAAGGGTGTCACTGCCTTTCTTTGGTGTTTATTTTTACATATCTTTACGTATCTTCTTTTATAGCGTCAGTTTTAATCTCCATCTTTTTGTTCACAGTCTTCTCAGGTCCTGGCTTTAGGATCTCTATTAAGCCTTGTAGTGTGGGGAAATGAGAACAGTAAATTCAGGATCTTGGGGACCGATGTGTTTGTAATGAGTAGATGATTGCTGAGAATATCACAAAGAAAAGAGATACAGTTGTTAGAGTAAGGCATGTGCATGCTGTAAAGTCAAGTATAACATGCTGGACATCTCTGCACATCATTTTTCGACAGATGATGTCATTAGAATAGTAATATAATGTTGGAGAACAGTTGATGAAGAGGTGTTTTAGATGTGAAAATGTATTTTTATGCATTCAGGGAAAAGTGAAAATCATCTCTTAATTCAGCTTTCCATTTTCCTTCCTTATAACGTTGATGTGTGTCATTAAAGGCTATGGCTGTAGTACAGCATGTGCTTATTTATGTCTCTGTTCCTTGAGCATGTTGCTGTTTTTGTTCTGTAGAGTATTGCTGAATGACATGTAACTGCCTCTCTCCTACTGCCCATCTGCAGTCAGGGCATCCCACCACAGAGAAAGCTTAAAGCATAGTGGAGTCTCCTGGCTGGATTCAGTGATGGAGCATCACCTTTGTTAATCATTGGAAGACTGTCCGATGGTTGCCATCTTTATTTTCTTTTTTTCCTCAATGCAGTGTTGGGTGTTCAGATTTAGTGCTCAGACACAGTCTGTGGCTCACTCATGACTGACAGGAACAGTATTGTTCCACTACCAAAGCAGGTGTAGTTCAGTTACCGGAAAGAATTCAGCAGAAGACTTAATATAGTCAATATGATCTAATGGTTTTAAGTTGAAAATGAAACTTATTCCATTCAAATTGGATTACATTTCTCAGAATTACTGCACTACTGCTGCTCCTGTTTTGGGCAGGAGGGTTACATCCTTTCTTCGCTTTTGGCTCAGTTCAAAATGAAATCTTTGTGAAATACCTGCATTTCCCAAAGGATGGATTTCTCAGTTTTGCTTAGTCCTGGTGAGCATTCAGGAGCTGCACTGCTGTCATCCTCCTGCTGTTGGCAGGGTAGGATCAGCAGGCTGGATATTAATCTGATATTCCACAGGTTAAGGAAGGGCAGTTACTTTAGTGACTAACAGCTGAGGTTTTGATTTTTTTGTTAAAAATCCAGACAGTGCTCAGTCCAAACTGTAGGATGGTAACAGTATTCAGCTAGGCAGTACAAGGAAACTAGGTGCAATTTAGCTGAAGTACAACATTAAACCAACTCTTCCTTTTGCTATGGGAACTCCAATTATATTACTGATAGTTCAGTTTCTCAAGTAAGTCTTCCCTCATAAGCAAAGCCACTGGAAGAAGATGGCTGCATCTCCTCCAAATATGACCACAATGTTGATTGCGCGATGAGATAATTAGATTTGAGACTGAACATTTATCATGTTATTGCAACACGTGGGCCTTCTGTAGAGGCTGTGAAGGGCTTTCAGCATGAAAAGGCACGAGTACTAAATTTCACTGTGATTAATTACGCGCAGTGATCTTCTAAATAATAGAGAAGCTGACATCTCTTCACCTCATTGTACTTTCCTAGTGCTGTGTATGACCTTCGTGGGGAGTTCGCTGATGTGCATACATCCGTGGACATGCATACAAACGTGTGCCTTTGCTTATGTGCATGAATACAATTACATATGCATGTAAGAGAACAATTTTAATATAGGTAAATATGAGAAATACATATGGATTTTTTATGAAGACAACTCTTCGCCTTTTTTATCTGTCCAATAGCCAACACAAAGATGTCACTCATGAGTGCAGCCAGCTTTTAACTGTTACTCTTATTCTCTGAACTGAAGCTTTTGTGGTGAGATGCCATGAATACACATATACACTCCTGTGTTAGTTTTTCTCTCACTTAACTATCACACCTTTCTCCTTTCTTCCCCTCCCTTCCTGTTGAACCTCACTCTTGCACAATCCAGTACGGATTTCACGGAGCGTTTCAACCCCAGTGTCCTGAAGGACTCTGCCCTGTCTACACACAAACCCATTGAGGTGAAAGGCCTAGGCGGCAAGGCTACTATAATTCACGCCCAGTATAACACCCCAATCAGCATGTATTCCCAAGATGCCATCATGGATGCAATTGCAGGCCAGGCACAAGCCCAAGGTGGAGAATTTGCTGGGTAAGATTATTTCCTTGTGTGGAATGCTCTTTCTCTGCATGGAACATCTAATAGTCCCCATATGCATGATGAGAGTTCTTCCTTGACTCTTTTCTGTGAAAAATAAAAATCAATTCTAGGTACTGCTTTGAAAGTGTTGGGTTGTTGTGTTTTTTTGTTTGTTTTTTTTTTTTTTCCCAGTTGAAAGGATGGATAACTAGTGTCTTAGTGTCTTTGTTTCAGCTGGGATGGAATTGAGCAAATGCAACTTTTTTTGGTATCTCAAATATCACAGGAAAAGATTTAGTGGTCTGTATTTGAAGATAGACGGCTTTTCACTTATCTTGACTATTCTTTGTAACAAACACTGAATTAAGAAAGGAAAGGGGGAGGGTTTCTATTAATAGTTAAAGAAGCCAAGTATTTACTTAGTGCTGACTTTGGTTTTATCCTTTATAATGGAAAATTGTATAGTACTATTCCCTTATCTAGTATATATACTGTATATATGCCTTATGCATATGCTTTGTTATCCTTCTAGTATATTTACTGTATATATGCCTTATGCCAAATGCTTTATTATCCTTAGGACTATAGTAAAATTCATTGATTTTCAATTATTCTGTTTTTTCCAGTGCATGTTTCTGCTAATCTTGTCTGATAAACTTATCCACATTTGTGACTTAACTGAAATTATATGTGGCATAAGTGCAGCCCTGTTTCTTACTAGGTATGTTTGACCTAAAATAGAGCCTACCTTCTTATCACATGAATCCAAAATATAGGTAGAGAAACAAACATTAACATTGCTTCTTTCAAATTTGTTAGCTGTAAGCTTATTCATAATGCAGGCATTTTATAGATTTGCCTACACTCCCTTTACTGGCTATTTTCTCACTGAGAGATTTTTTTTTTTCCCCACCATTATTATTCTGTTGTGTTCATAACTCCATAATATGCATCCCAAACAATTTGTTGGCTTGATCACAGCTCAGTCAGTCTCCAAAGATGTAAGTAAATTTAACAATTTCACAAAGTGCAATGAAAGAAGTTCTTTATATCTGTGGTTTCGATAAGGGTGTAGATTATAAGAACACTTTCTACCAGATGGTGTGGCATTGTATAATGGAAACTGTAATGCTTAAGAACTCCATTCCTAAGCTAAGCATTCACTTGACTCCAGAGGAAAATTGTGCTTCTATTCTTATGTGTGGTCAGTTGCAGGAAACTTTCTAAGCCTACTGTGCTGTGTGTTACAGAGCCTGATTTATAAACTATTTTTTAAAAACTCCTAGCACTTTAGTAACTAAACAAATTTCTCCTTGTTATTTCTCAGTTATCCTACTATGATCACAACCTTTTAAATCTAGATAGGAAGATACAATCCTTGCTCATATTACTGCAACTCTTCAGGTTGCTAACAGATCAACTCTGAGATAAAAGTTTGCTTCATGTGGAAATTATATTAGTATAGTATGAGAAGTTTGTCAAATAAAAGTAGATTAAATTATGTACTGATCCATTTGGTCCCAATTCTCTGCCTATCACAGTAACATGTGTTACTTTTCTCTGGGCTTCTAACTTTATATTACAGATACGTTCTGAAGCCATGAGGTGGTATGTAATACAGGTGTGTATGTAATACAGTACTATGACTGGAGATCCAAAAGACTTCCGTTCTGCACAGTAACTGCAAATACTGTTTACTTCTGGTATCAGTGAAAGTAGTATTAGGACAGGGATTCATCCTCCAGTTTAACCATTTGAAATCTGTGATCTTTTCTATCAGTAAGACCGGTGTCAGGATTATGCTGTTTAGAAAATAACACAAATACTGGGTTGCCCTGGAGAACTGAAAGGAAAGCTTACAAATTACTTACACTACAATTATTCAGAACTCAAACTAAAACATGAGGATAGCAATGTTCAAGTGCTCTGACTTCATATTTCATTGTATGTTGCTTTGTTACAATTAATTTTGATATACCAAGAACTAAGAGTTGATTGCAATAAAACCATGTGGTCAGGTATTTCAAGTACATTTCAGTAAAACCTCTTTTAGGTTCCATTATGCAGTTTCAGCCAAATTCACAATTCATGTAAGCAGATATAAATCCAACAGCTTTATCAGGCTTAAGATCTTACAGTTCCGGTAGCAGAATCAATAATGTGACTGTATAAACTAAATGAAGTCTAGCATCTATTTACAATAAGCTAGTTTGGCTGTATAATTCTCTGATCTGCAGGAACTTTTTCCTTTTACATCTCAAAGCATTAGTCAATAGGCAGAATTAGTCTAATATCCTGTGTTACAATATTTTGTTGTATGCTTACGTTAAGGGTAGAGCTATATAGTACTTCCAAAGTTTTTATTTATCGTCTTTCTACTTGCTTGCACTAAAACTGAGTCACGATTCAGTAAGTGATTCACAGGGTAAACCATATTTTATAATGAACTGCAAGATAAAATCACGTTTGTACATATCCAAAGAGATTTGACTGTCTTTTAAGCTTCTTTTAATGCTAATAACATCTGATCTGTATGGTAATGTGCAAAAAGAGATAACTTTCTATTGAATACTACTATAATATCTTAGGGTATTGTATTAAGAAAACTCAAAAGCTCTAATCCATTTTGACAGGCTTTTTTTTTTCAGTAATGCCATTCTGAGGTAACGTTTTTAAGGATGCATGATATTTCTGCATGTGTGTACCCAGATGGAAAAATTAAATTACGAAGAGGTATAAGAACTACTTATTAACATTGTTATGTATGTAGCTCAACTATCTGTGTGAGTCAAACACCACATTTAGGTTTAGGAAATGCTCATAATTATTGATGCCCTGTGTTTTGCACTTCCATGCTGAGTGGCTTAGATGTCCAAGATACCCATTTGCAATATAATTACAATTTAAAAAAAAAAAAAAAAAAAAGCCTGCTGCAGTAAAGACAGTTGGAACTATTCCAATGTATTGCATTTATCTAGTTCAATTTATAGGAGCATATTTCACTCTTCTAGGGAGGTTAGTTCACCAACCCCCATTTCCTGCCATAATCATCTACCACGAAGACATAAATATGTCATATTAATGCCATGTACTGCTACTATGAAATCTGTGGTCTAGATTTTAGAAAAAATAACATATATTTTTTAACTGTCTCTTTGCATCTTGGTTGTAATATAAATATAAAGCAATTGAGAGCATGTCAAGAACAGAATTTGAATAATCTGTGAGTTGCATACCACAATTGCCACAGGAATACGTGGTTAAAATCAACAGTACTGCGTATATCCAGTTTGCAACAGACTGCAGTTCTAAAATTTGCTATCAGGTCTAGCAGGGTTGTTTTTTTTTTTGGTTTTTTTTGAACTTCAGCACTGGAATACAAGTCTGAGGTATAAAGTAACTGTTGGCCAATTAAAGTAATCATCTAGCCTTTCCTCCCCCTAGATATTTCCCTGCCCTCAGCAGAGGTTTTGGAATGAGATGATCTTCAAAGATCCCTTCCAAACCCCAGACATTCTATGATTCTATTTGATAAAGCAAAAGATACTGCATGCTTAGCCAGTACTAAGAGGAATGCCTGAAGTGCAGCTGGCAACTTGAAAACTAGGTCACCTTTGGGGGAAGTTTCTTTTTTTTAGATCTTGAACTGAAGATTCATTTTAGGGTCTTTTTCTCCAAAGCCCCGCTCCACCATGTAGTAATGAACTTGTGCCCAACTGAGTCCTCAAGGAAGTGAAAAGTCTGCATATGCTGGGGGTGTGAGAAATATAAATACTCGTAAAAAAATAAAATAAAAAAAAAAAAAATCCGAAGGTGTTGGGGTATGAAACAGCCACATATCACACATGCTGTGAGTCTACAGCATATATAAGCGTGTGTCATGTTTCTGAACCACTTGCAGTCTTACTTGAAAAACACATCCATGCTATCACTAGTTGTGGATCCACTAAAAGAATTTGTTATGCAACACTGAAGCAGAGATGTGTCACCTGGAAAGTACTGACATTTAAGGTATTGCCTAGTAGTTTGGTTTTTGGTTTTTTTTTTTTACTGTATGCTGTATGAGAGCTGTTGTGATAGTAATGCCTCCCATTATATTAAGTTGGTCCTTGATGTCAGAGGTGGATGTTGATGGTATGGAATAGAGATTGAACCTTCCCACCAATACTCCATTGCAGTTTGTTGCCACGTGACAGATGGCAGCAGAGGGGCAGTCTGACAGGTTGGAGTCTGACACGGCATGGAAGTATGTATGAAGCAGAGGAGTGGAACTGAATTCCTCTATGTGGAAAAATGACACCCATTGATATTCATTGATGGTTGCTGAATGTTTATGGAGATGAAACACTGGATGTTAGCACAGTAAAGCAGTGGGTGGCACATTTCTGTGACAGCTCTGGTGACAGTGAAATGAAAGACCAGCCATGCACACCTGTTGTATTATGAAATGAAGACTGCTCCAATGAGCTCATCCACATGAATTTGTGGGTTTATAACCAAGAGTTTGTACAGAACTGAATATCAGCTTAACTGTATTGCAAATGATGGAGGCAACACAGGAGTTGGATGACTTTTGTACCAGATGGTTTCCACAAATGCTTACATTGAAACAAAAGGACACTGCATGCTAGTTGGTCAGGAATTGAACCAATAGAAGGCTGGAGGTGACTATTTCCCAGATCACATCATTACCAGTGATGGGACAGGGAGTCATCGCTACAAGCTGAAGTCAAAATGGTAGTCCATGGAGTGGTGATGTGAATTCCCCACTGAAGAAAAAGTCTGTTACACAGCCCTTGCCAGTTAAGTGATGTGTGCTCTTTCAGAGCAGGAAAGGCACAATCTTTGTGAATTTCCTGGGGCCCAGGCAAGCTGTCAGTTCTGACTGCTATGTCACAACACTGACTAAGCTGAGGGCTCAGACTTAACACTCAGGCCAGAGAAGAAGACAACCTTTCTCTTGCAACGCACAAATGCCAAGTCCCATACCAGTTTGAAGACTGTGGAAGAAACTGCCAATCTAAGCTGGACTGTCCTACAATACTCCCTGTATAGTTTGGGTTTGGCACCTTCTGGCTTTCACTTGCTCAGTTCAGTGGAGATAGACTGTGTGAGCAACGTTTTTCTAGCAACAATGCAATTGTAGCAGCTGCGAAACAGTGGATCACCTCTGCTGGCGCAAGTCTTTATGCGCATGGCATGCAGGCTCTTGTTCATTACTGGCAAAAGTGCATACTTAATAGAGATGACTGTGTTGAAAAACAGCATTATGTAGCTAAGAATTTGCTCTCTCAAATAGTGTTATTGTATTCTTTGTATCTGTTGTAGTTTCCATGGTAATAAATAGGAGGCATTACTTTAGGATCTACCTCTATGTATAGGATATCAGATATGCTTTTGGCTTTTTCATCATTCCTCATCTGCTTTCAAATAGCAAAACCAACTTCCTTGTTGATTTCCTCTGCAACATGCAAAATTTTCAGATAATACTAAATTAGAGCCTGAGCCAGAGAAGCAACTTCTACAGCAGGTGACCATTCCCTAAACTTCATAGCACTGAGTTATGGCCCCTATCTCTTGAGTCATTTCTCAATTTTTGTGGAGTTGAATATCCTGCCTGCAAATCTCTGTATGGAATAGCACATTAAAGCATTTAAAAACAATCACTTGCTTCAGAAAAAGACTTTGTGTTTACAAAAGTTGTGTACACATGGCTGTACACATCATTCCCTCACAGTGTCTTTCTAAAGTTCTGTCACTATTCAAACTGTGCTATGCAGAAATTAGTTACGCAGGAGGGAAAAAAACAACACAAAACAAGCACATTAACCTCAGGTGTGCTACAGAGATCTGTAGTTTTGGCTTTGGATGTGAAAAATTAGAAGTTTCCTTCTGGATATCACAGTGCAAGATGATGAGAGACATTGGAAAAGCCTGAGGTACATTTTACTGCTGAAGTTTTTAGATATAAAATACTTGAGTAAGTCTTGAGTACAAGTCATCTTTTTTCTACTAAAAGTAGGCAATGAATCTGGAGTTGCTGCAGCTTGAGTTTGAATTCAGACTTTTGTCTGAGAATAATGACCTCTGAAAAGGAAAAAGATAAATAATAGTAAAAAAGTTTATTACATTAATAATATAATGAAACACGTTCTCTGTTTTTATGTGCTACCTTAAAATACACTGGCCCAAAACTGTAATGAAACATAATGTAAAACAGTACCAACGCAAAGCTGTTTTTATAAGAAATAATATTGGTCAGAATGCTTGGAGGAATAAGTCTCCTTTATCATCACAGACTCCTTTATATCATCACAGAAGCTTATAGCTGCTTTGGCTGAGGAATCGTGAACAGATATCTCCAAACCATTTTCACAGTGCTTTTAATATAAGGGTTTGAATGATTGCACAGTTATAACGAGCAAAATCTTTCTTAATTCACCTGATGTTAATCTATGTATTTGTCCTTTTGTTTTGAATTCTGTTAGTTCGGATGAGAAGCTGTAAGACCAGAGAGAAGTTAAGATGAAAGCTGCCGCGTGTTGTTTCACAACATTTCACTTTCTGAATTGCAGTACCCTTCCTATTAAAGATCCTCACGTAGACAGTGCATCTCCGGTGTATCAGGCTGTTCTCAAAACTCAGAACAAGCCTGAAGATGAAACTGAAGACTGGAGCCGCCGTTCTGCCAACCTGCAGTCTAAGTCTTTTCGCATCCTTGCTCAGATGACTGGAACAGAGTTCAGTAAGTCAAATAACAAAGCATCTTCCTCATCCTGGCTTTAGATTTGTCTCTTTATTTTCTTATCCTAACGCTGGTGACTAATACTTGGTTCGCATTCTTCTTGCAGTTGTTGTCACGGAGGGCTAAGATCAGACAGAGAAGCCTTGAATGTAAATTAAGGGAATTAGGAAATCGAAATCCAAGTTTTGTGTCTCACCTTATACTTTATGAAGAAAATCTTTGATCTGCCAAGGGTCTCACCAAAATAAGTATAAGACTGTACAGTAGAAGTTTATCTGGGACCGTATAATCCTTTCTTACAAATGTAATCTATGCACAGTGACCCTTCCAGCAGTTATACATAAAAGTCTTCAATTCATTAGAGAAAGGATAAAGCACTTAAGTATCTTGTAACAGACTTCTATAGAAGTGAATTCCTGAAGTAAAAAACAAAAACAAAAAAACAGGGATCATTGTTTGTACTGTACCTATGTTCCTCTATCAGCCTCTAGTCTAAACCTAAATCTTTTGTGAACATTATATGAGTTTGAACTTCTTTGGTTATTGCCTACAGAAATACTTTTCTGACCATCTGGTGCTAAATTCAGATCTTGTTTCTGTTCTAGTTTAAGAACCTTTCCAACATCACAGAGAAATATTTAGTTTTTTCTCCTTGTATTAATCTACTGCTAACTCTGACGTGATTCCACAGAACAGCACAGAACAGCAAGCCCTCTCTGCAGGGTCATTGCCTACAGCTATGAAATGCTGCTAGTAAAGGATGTTGTAGTAATAGCCACTTTCCTAAGATCTTTCTGCCTAGCTCTAGGGAAACCGCTCCTCTTCTTACTGTTACAAAAGCCACTGCTGTAAAGTCAGCATCAGTGTACCTTTAAACAGGTTTCTGACGCTTTTCTGAAGAACTTGTAATTTTATCACGAAGCTGATTATTTCTTTCTTCATTTCTGTTCTAATGGAAATGGTTTTTTCCTGCAGTGCAAGATCCAGATGAAGAAGCCCTGAGGAGATCAAGGTAAGAGACTCCTTGTGAAAAACATGGCTTCTGTCCCGTGTGATAACCAAATAATGTTTTAAAACAGCATTAATACTAGCATATACAACTATTTTCTTGCCTTACACATTGTCTCTAACACAGTTACTTAAAAATAACTAAAGTTAAAATGCTATCCGTGAGAGTAATTTGAATGAAAAGGGTTAACAAACTGGCATGCATTTAAGGCAGTACAAAAAAGTGTGTTCAAATCTGAAAGCTCCCTGCCCATGCAACTTTTATGTACTTTACTCTGTGTGTGAATGCAGCGAGCTTCTAAGACCAAATCCTGTGTAACTGCTTGATTGTGTAACTGTATGAGAATATGTAATGCTGTGATAGCATTGAAATTTATGTGCAATTTATTTGGATGATCCTGACTGACATCTGATTCATCTGAAACGATACACTAAAGGAGCTTTTTTCTATTCGTATCCATAATCATTTGCTCACGTTCTGTTGGAAGTGTAACCAAAACTTGCATAATAAGGAAGCACAGGACTGCTTTTGCTGAGGTGAAATATATTTGTCTCCTTCTATGACCTAACAATAATGCTGATAAAATGAGTATGCTCAGAAATAAAACAGAATTAAAGGCCTGTGATCATCTTAGGTTTTCCTATACTGCCAGGGATCCACTTTTTGTTATGTTATTGTGTACAGCTTAATAACTTAAGTTGAATTGGAGCATCCTGCATGTAAGCCTGATTTTCTATTTCCATACTTCAAACTCCTATTTCACATTAGCTACTCTACACCACTAGCTGGGTTTGTGATTTCTTTGATATTCAATCCACTTGCTCTATTTTGTCATCATCATCTTTTTACCAGCATGTTTCTTCTATGAATACTTTGAGCTTTCGATCACAGTCCAAGCTACGAAGTTGAGCTAGTGAGAAAGATGGCTGTCATTTTCCCTATGAAAATACAGTATGCAGAATTCCAGTTTTATGTCTGCCACAAGCCTTTTATTGCAGTTCACCGAAGTTCATGGGTGGGTGCCTGAACATCGGGCTTGGCATTACATCCCCGCTGGATTCATTTCTCCTATCAAATGTGCAAGCCTAACTCTTAGAAAATGTACCCTACGTTACATGTTTTGATGTAATAGCACACATGTGAATCCTTACTACGGGGGGATTTGAAATACTGTAGCGAACATAACAGTTCTCCTATACACACATCTGATAGTAATATATTTTATTAAAGAAGTGATCTTTCTGGATGTAGTTTCTGGCTTTGTAAAACACTAGATAGTGGAAGTTTAATGTGTTATTAGGTGGATTGCAAAAGTTAGTACATCAACATGCATAGTGTAAATTACATTTTTTAGTGTAACTTAGAAGTACATGACTGTATTTACTATGCATTGCACATTTTCTGCAGTTTTAATGTATTAATGCTACTGTTATTTTTTTTTTTACCACAAGGAGAGTAATGATTCTGAGTATATTTAAGCATATCTGGATTACCAAAAGAAGTTAAAGGACATTCTTTGTTAGTAGAGGCAGAAGGGAATATTGTAGTGGATAGTTAGTAGTATAGTGTGTGTAGTAATACATCACAAGCTCTGGTGCAAGAAGTGAAATAGGGCCTCTTTCATAGCAAACTGATAGTACTTGCCTCATCTTGGTGCCCTGGTGCCTATTTCATACATTATATGTACCCTACCCACAGATTTTGTAGCACAGGCACAGGTTGTGCATGCGTCCATCATATGTTTTCTTGGGTTGATTGGACCTCTCTCTGTTTCATCTTTTGATTTTGGAAGAGGTGGAAGAAGCTATGTCAGATGCACAGAATTAATACTTGAACTTCACTCTACCATCATAATAATGGTAGACACTGTACAGCCTGTACAACCAGGTTTTGCTCCATGCCCACGGTTAGGAGATCAGCTGGAAGGCTTCCTGGGCTCTCAAACGCAAAAGGCTGTCACAGAATTGTGGGGTGTGAAGCTTGTCAGGTTAAATGTTGCACTGATCTTGTTTTGGCTTTATGGAAAAAAAAATATTAAATGTTTCAAAATGTAAACTGCCAGAATGAACGACTTTGGTCCTAGAGCATGTTGTGAGCAGTCACCCTCTGGTGCTTTCCGTTGTCTCTGTGTCAGTTCTTCAGTGTAGTCAGCAAGAGCTGCATGAGACGGCAGTAAGATTTGCTCCGAACACTTGGAAAAAGGAACACGTGGCTCACTTTTGGCAGGCTCATTTTACATAAAAACAGTCACTTTTGGATTGCTGCTTCTAACTTCTTAACACATGCTTTGAGTGGTATCGGTAAGACTTAGAATCTTCAGGAGGCAGAGTATTTATTTTCTGTTAACATCACTGAATGCAGAGCATGACTTCCTTTTGCTCATGTTACTGCTACTCTGAAGGCGCACATACGATTATAACTTGCTGTGGAAACATTAATTTGCTGTTGTGATGACTGTTACAGAACAGTTTCCAGAAAGATGGTCTCTGTTTCAAGATTGGCAGGTGTTTCTTAATGCCATTTCCTTGAATGGAGGGATATATTTTTAAAGCAGTGAGGGAATTCATGAAATTCAAGACCCGCTGTAGCTAATGCACTTCAGTGTAACTGGAATAAATGCCACCATACACTTCCAGTGGTTCAGCAAAAATACTTTTATATTTTTAAGTAATTAAAAGATAGTTTAGGAAGTCATACATAAAGACTCCCTTAGATTTAGAAAGAAAATTGAGAAATATCAGTGAATTTGTTGATATTTACACTGTTCAATGTCTTGTGCTATATTCAGCCTGAGGAGTAAAATCAGTTTGGTCTGTTCCTTTCTTTTTCACTGATTTCACTCTCAAGTTCTGCTACAATTAACAGAGTTAACTTTGAGTTTAAATAATAGGCAGAACAGGTAAAATAATCTGTTTGCAATTGATCAAATAAATTTGTAAATAACATACTTCTCCTTGACTACACTCTCATCCCACATCCTCCTCCATCCACTTTTTGTTTGCAAAATCTTAATTTAAGCTACAGAACATCTAGAAAAAATTAAGGTCTGAGAGGTGCTGAACATTGCTTACAACTTGCTCAAGAGCACCAGACTGCAGTCAAAACTGGCAGGGGGAGGTCAGTTATTCACAGGACTGCACTTTTGAAAATCCCAGGTTATTCTGCTCTTCAACACAAATGATCAGAAATACCTGTACTTGCTTCTGTTGAGAAACCTATAGAAACTACTGCTGAACGCTGCATCTGATGGCCTTACAGCACAGCATGAGAAATAGATATAAATATGCTGGCCTATGTATTAGTTACGGAATGGAAAATATTTGCAATAATTTTGCTCCTGTACTGAATCAACTTTAAATACTGCTTGGGCTGGGGAGGGGAGAGCCAAGCGAATCTGCTGGCAGGAAAACAATGGGATTGCACTGCATTTCTAGCAAAAGCAGACCTGTAATACCAAATTTAAGTCATAGAATATAAAGTTACTTCAAATTACTCCTCAGAAATGAACAAATGCAAAAATATTCATTCATGGTCTAAAAAGGATCGTCCAGCTTTCTTTGCACTGATTCAAAAGCCGGGGAAACAAATCCAAATAAATTGCCATTGCCCTAATTATAATAAGGCAGGGGAGTGGTAGCCATGTTCCCTAATCCCTTTCTTTCTCCCTCCTTTCTTTCTTCTCTTTGTCTCTCTCTGTATCTCTCTCTCTCTCTTGCTCTGTCTCTGTCTTTCTCTCTCTCTTTCTTCATGCCACAGGGAAAGGTTTGAAACGGAACGTAACAGCCCACGCTTTGCCAAATTGCGCAACTGGCATCACGGCCTGTCGGCGCAAATCCTTAATGTTAAAAGTTAAAAGCCCACATTCAGTGGGCAAAGATGTGAGAGAGAATTACAGGAAAGAAATAACTGCTATCCTGAGTTAAAGCCTAAGAGTGTAACACACGTACAGGAAAGATGACTGCTAGGTTGTTTTTATTTTTTCTGAGTGCCCGTCTTTGGTAGTTTTCTGTTGTTAGCCTGGAATTCACTCACTGTCACCAAAAGCAAAAATAATCATACTGCCTTGTTCACGTTCTTTGGTATAAAGTAGATTAGCTTTTGTCCTTTACGATATCAAATGCAACTTCAATATACAGATAGAAGGAAAAGATCATTGTGTTACTTTTTTGACTTTACTTACAGGAGAAAATGAAAGTTATTCACAGTGTTTCTTTAGGAGAGAGACTTAGGTTTTATTGACTTTTATTGCTGTAAAGATAATTAAATATGAGAACATAGGATGAAAAGGAAAGCTGACTGAGCCTGGCCAAGCGTTTGCTAAATGTACAACCTGCTTAGTTCACATAGTCAAACGATGCTGTTTGAAATAAGACTTAAGCGTTATCATTTTTTCTTCAGTATATAATG